TTCCAGGAAGGCCATTATTTGGCTGTAAACTACCTTTTCCAGAATTTTGGAAAGAAAAGGTAGTTTGGAGATAGGCCTGTAGTTTGCAAGAACCGTAGGATCAAGAGCAGGTTTTTTAATCAGGGGTTTGACTACTGCATGTTTAAAATCTTTAGGGACAACACCTGACATCAGACTATGGTTTACCAGCTCAAGAACCACAGGACCAACTGTAGGTAACACCTCTTTTAAAAGTCGAGGAGGGACAGCATCATTTGGAGACCCTGCAGGCTTAAGATGACCAACAGTCTCCTTTAAAAAGGACAGAGTCACAGGCTCAAACCTGTCAAAGACAGCAGAGCAGGAAACAGAGACTGAGAGGTCATAAGCACGAGGAGAGATTTGAGCCCTTGTGGAGGAGACCTTCTCAATAAAAAAGTGTAAAAAATTTTCACAGGCATCTGATGAGGGCTCGATACAGTCAGTATAAGGTGCATTAAGAACAGAGTCAATAGTTTTAAATAAAACACGCGGGTTGTGACAGTTTGACAAAATAATGTCAGATAAGTGTTTTCTTTTGGCATCTTTTACAGTTCTTTGATATTGGCGCCAACAGTCCTTCAGCATCTGGAACGACACTTCTAGTTTGTCCTTTTTCCACTTGCGCTCAGCTCGACGGCAGTCGCGCCTGACAGCTCGGGTCATGTCGTTCAGCCAGGGCTCAGATTTTGTTTTAGGCCGTCTGGTTTTTAATGGAGCCACAGTGTCCAAAGCAGTCTGACAGGTAGAATAAAACCATGAGCTCAGTTCCTCAGTCTGGCTGCATAAAAAATCCGGGATCTTACAGATCTGGTCAAAGACTGTTGAAAAGTGTTCAGCAGTGGAGGAGTTAAAAACACGACGGCGCAGAGCAGCAGCGCGAGGTTTAACTGCTGATGAAGGCATGGTGGAAGCGCTTCTTTTATGTTGTTGTTTGGAGAGCAAAAGAACCTCTGTTCTGTATTCTGGGTGATTTTCAAGAGATGCACATAAACATTAATACAAGATCCTTATTTAATACCACTTGAACTCATTGGTCCAGTTCATCTAAAGTAATCTGTGCATGACTATCTAAGAGGCAGCACAAGCACAAAGCTTCAAAGAAATAGCAGGAAAATCTCAATTTCACCAATTTTTTTGGCATGCCAACTAACAAGCTAGCATTTCTGCCTTGTGGCCTTCATCAGAGCATGAAACAAAACTGAACGTTGTAACATTTACAGCAATCTGACATTGTTTCTGATCTCATGTGATGACATTCATACATTTTAAAACAGAGCAGAGTGAATACAGCCGGGGTTAAAGTTTTCTATACTATTACATTTCATATTCATACTTATTCAGAGAAGATCTGAGCTAAAATCATTAGTCAGCCCAGCAGGTGTCATTGTGTTTAGTGATGAGATCCAACATCTATTTATTTGATAAAATTCCCTGGCAGAAATAGCAGAAAGAATTACATGTTCAAGTCCAGTGAACAGCAGGAGGAGCAGCAGGAGAGCCATGATTGGCTTCATAGTTGTGTTTGGCTAAGACAGACTCTATGTGCCCAGTTCTGTGACTCTTGTTTGGATATTCTACTTAACATCTAAAGTGTTGTTACACTCACTACATTTTCCACATCTGAAGTTTCCTTTCGTGTATGTTTTGGTTTGATAGGTTGAAAAGTGTGTTTACAATTATCTCTGATTGTTCAAGCACTTCAAAATCACAGTGATTCCACTTAGTCATCACTCAGATTTTAAGATGTGTCAGTATTGGTAATGTCTCTGAGTTTCTTGTGACAGCGGTTAAATTAAGTGGAAAAAATTATTCTTTCCAGTTGATATTTTAGGTGTAAGCAGTTCAGATTTTAAAGCATTATTGTAGGCAGTGCTGATTATTGAGGGATGATACGTTATTTCATTAAATCTTGATTCCATCTGATTGCCATGCTTTAGAATTATTGGGAGGTAGACTACAGGAATCACTTTGGGAAACATTTGAAGATTGAAATTAAAACAGTTTCATTTGGACTGCAAGCATAAAGACTCTCAGTGTCAGTGTTGATTTTGTATGATTTTTCAAGCAATTTAGTCCATCTTTGTCTCTTTAATGAAATGAGGTGTTGATGCTATAATATCTTTTAGAAAAAACTTCAGTAGAGGTTCAGTAATAGATTTTATACCAGAGACAATAGTTCTTGATTAGGAATTGTACTATTGCACTTTGGGTGTATTGCACTAAGAGGAAATCAATCTCTCGTGTAGATCGTGAGAGCTACGCTAGCATGCATGAAGAGACTTTTAATTTAACTTTTGATCTCATTCACTGGATTTTTTTTAGCTCTTTATAGCACTCTCTATGCTCACTATCCCACTGCTTCTTTTGATACAATGTAGCTTTTTTTTTCTTTTACTAATATGATGGATTTGGGTCCTCCATAGTTAGGGATGATACTGGCATCTAGTGGTAGTGCATATGTATTACAGTTAAGCGTGTGTTAATCCCACTATTTTCAACAACCTAGCTTTGCTGCACTCTACTGGCAATACTGAGGCAATGCAGAGTGTTGCCTAGGAATACAATTTAGATAATAGGCATATTAAAAATTGCTGAAACTATGTCTTGTAAAAAAAAATGTTTTACAAACTGCTTTATAACAAGTAACTGTGGAGTAATTTGTGAACCCAGAAGAGATTACCAGCATCAAAAACATGGGATTTTGAGAAAAAAGATAAGTAGGTTAAACTCAGGAAACAGATGGAAGAAAATGGGTGGTCTAATGACCAGATACATGGGAAAGTAGATAGACACAAAAAATGTGTTGGTTCTCCTGAACTGACCACAGAGGATTAAGGCTGCAAGCGATGAGCCTTCATCAAACTGCGTAAATCTCTGACACACATATTACACCCAATACACATGTATATAAGAAATGCAGTATATATAACAATCTGGGATTCGGTTTCAACAAAGAACAGTAGATGAATTGGAGTGGACAAAATAATCAAACAATGATCCTAAGAAAACAAGTACCAGTATTTTTATTTCTAGAGAGAAAGGAATAAGCTTTGATGGTTTTAGAACGTAATAGATGGTGGGCAATTAGAAGGGAAACAATTAAAAAGCGGTGGTGAAGAGAATCATCTTTAAAAGCACAGATATAACAAAAAATATATATAAAAAAAAGCCTTTCAATTGTGCCACAAGTCTGAAGCGAGACTAAAAATAAAAGATTAATAACACTGGCCCCTTCTTTGGTGCCATCTGGTGGCTTTAGAGAACTTTATTTATATAACTTCTACTTAATCAGGGTTGAGATCAAAGTCAAGAATATAAACAGACAAGCAGCAAAATCACAGACACCACTGAGCAGATGTGAAAGTTAAAAGTTTGCATGTAATACACAAAAATGTGCAAACTAGTAGAAGGCAGGTGATGGTGAAGACTTACATTCAGAGACAGATGCTGCAGGTGAGCATCTGCACCACATCAATGCTCCCACCGCTTCACGAGCAACGCAGTTATGATTATCAGTATAATCAGCAATTCCATAAAGCTATAATTATTTTTAGTAGCACTAGTAGTAGTTGTTGTGGTAGTGTCTATACTAAGTCAGACGTTTACATAATACAGTTACACTCACTGGTTTTATTATACGCCCCTGCAATTTTACTTTCTAAAAAGGTTTTCGCATGCACTGTTATGTGCCTCTCTTTTCACTTTTCTCTTTCCCAGCGTGTCTCCATGTGTTTTAATTTTTTTAATCGCCTTTTTTTTTTGTCTCACAGTGACTAGTTGTGTAAAATAAATATTCCACTTCTATTTCTTCTACTTGCAGCCCCATGCTCTCGTAGCCTGTCAGCATAGTTCTTTCCTTCTAATCTGAACTGCTGGGGATTAAACAGACAGCCAACTCTTCATCCATAATTCTACCACCCCCTCCCTCCCTCTCTCTCTATCTCTCTCTATCTCTCTCTCTCTTTCTGACTTAGAGACATACACACACACACAAAGCTTTGCCAGACTAGTCATTTGGAAACCATAAGCACGATGTTTGTTTGAGAGAGAGGGGAAGGTGGGTGGGATGGATTAGATTAAGTTGGTCCAAATTCAAGGGATCACTTGTAGCAAAAGGGGGTTACAAATAAAGGGAAAAACAGAGCGGATGCCCGTGTCTGTGTGTGAGAGAGACAGAGAGGGATAGAAAGGGAGAGAGAAAATGGTCGAGTCATGCAATCAGAGCCAGAGTCTGGCGCAGCAGGTTGTTTCAGCTCAGATATGACCCAACTCTCCCACCCCAACCCGTCAATCTCCATCACCCTGCCCCGATTCCATAATATCACCGTAAACATTTCAAATCTCATCATGGCAGCCGCCAACAACCCATGGGAGTTTAGGACTGAATGTGGCATCATATACACACCACTGGACCAATAGGATCTGGGACCGAAGCACATGCACTGAGAGGAGTCGCTTTTTGTAGTAGAGGTGCAAGTGGAAACATTTGCCCTCCTCCTTCCTGGGCGATAAAAGGCGTTGCCACCTAGGATGCTTTGGATCTAGTATGGATTTTGGATTTTCATGTGACGTTTGAACAGAGAAGGGTGAGAAAGAGGAAAAGAGGAGGATAAACTTTGGAGAAGTGTGAGGACCAGCAAGGAGGGAAGGGAGGGGGGAAGACAGGGAGAAGAGGGCAGGGTGATGGGAAACACTAACCAGACTTCTAAAAAGAACAGTAAAAAGAAGAAGGTAAGGAAACATTTTGTTCTTGGATAACTAAAACTAGGATTTCATGGCAATTTCGTATTTCATCTCTACTTGACACAAGAGATGTTTCAAATTTGCTTTTATTTGCAATATACAAAATAAATAAATCGATTGAAAATGTCTGTAACAGTACAAAAAATGGCAAATTTGCCAAAATTTAGGTAATAGCTTCATGTGTTTCATAATCCGATTGGTTCCTCTCCTCTAAGGTAATGTCACCCATAGAACAAAGTGGTGCCCCATTGGCTGCTGCCATGCTGGGGGGACTGGGTGGTGCAGGGGAAATGGACACAGAGGATGAGGAGGAAGGAGGGAACGAGCGTGAGTTTGATGAACCCCTGTGCGCTCTGGTTAAGAACTGCAACATGCTGCATGACATAGTGGGGCCTGCATGTATCTTCCTCAGACAGGGCTTCGCCCAAAGTCAGCTTGTATGTATTTACCCACACTACAAACACACCACACAAACATTACAGAACTGCCAGAATTGTCATTGCCAAAATCTCCCATAAATCCTTTCATCCATCCATTTCCAAAGTGCCATCCAAAGGAAGGTTAAGGTAAAGCTGAGGTCATCGTCATGGTTCCTCTGCCCTTCATCTCCACCAATCACAAAATCAAACTGTGACTGCACAGTCATGACTGCACATTCAATCATATCTATAGAAATGTTTTAAAATGTTCTGAGGGCCTCTTACTTACAAACTTATATGTATTCTACTATTTTGAGTAAAGTTATTGTACACTGAAATGACTTTTTACACAAATAGCCAAACTAAATTGAATAAAAACATGTGAGAAAGGACATGTTTTGGTCATTCTCATGTCAGTTGAGCTTAGTGAGATAGACATCTAAACATCAAAGGCTGTGACTACCCATGAAAAAACCCCACTCCATATTATAATTAAAAAAATAATAATCACTAAACCTCGAACTAAAACTAACGAAAAACAAAAACAAAAAATCAGCAAATAATTAAAATGAAATAAGAAATAAAAACTGTTGAAACATATAAAACTATGTTTTTTCACAGCTATAAAAGAAGGATAATGATAATGAGACCCAAAAATTTGTCCAGATTCAGGTATCTTTATAGTCTTGGAGTCTTCTATGCGCACCTCTTATTACAAATTAATGTCATACATGGGGAAAGTGGAAATGACACAGACAAGGAACTAGTTTAAAAGCTCTCCTAGGACAGTGGTGTGTGATCCGAGGTGATACTGGATGCCATTTGAAGTGAAAATGGGCGAGAAGTATAAAAGTATGAAAAAAGAGTATTCAGAATGTGGTTATGTAAATACTATTTTCTTTGCTGTATTGGTCGTAAGGTGAATGCGAGTTTCTGTGAGAATGTTAAAATCTGTCTCTCTGTGTTAGCCGTATAACAGACCGCGGTGTACCCCTCCTCTCACCCTAAAAAATCTTTTTGGGTGTGTGATTTGAAATAGTCTATTGATATATTTAACTACTGCCTTGCAGAGTCACTGTCTCGTTTATCAACTGATTGACAACCGCAGTTTAAATTTGCAGTTTACATCAAGCAGTATATGATAACAATTGAACAAATGTCTAATGTGAATGTGATCCCTTGCAGTTCCACACTCAGTCTCTGCAGTTCGCTTAAGATTTATAAGACGTTTTAGCTGATTGCTTTGCTTTTATGACACGCAAGTTTCACCAGCTGCAGTGGACAGCTGTTTCCAGAGGAAATACACTGATAAACCTTCTGTACACCACTTTCACAGCACCAACAAGGAACTGCTTTGTGAATATAGTGAGGCGTTTAGCAGCTAAAAAGCTAGGTAATTTTTCTCAGGAGTTTGGACTATGTCTTGATTCAGCCTCACTCATTTCATATGCCACATTTTCAGCCACAGCAGGCAACCATCAAGTGCATGTAGTGGAGCATTCAGCAGACAAACAGCTTGATATTTCAGTCAGACACCAAAAAACAAGCTAAAAGAAGAGTGAACATTAGTCTTTCAGAAACATTACTCCATACTGTGTGATAAAAAAAAATGTTGCTTTGAATCTGCCGAATGTGTAAACAGGCAAATAATTTTGATAAATTTTGATATTTTTGAAAATCTTGTGTTAATACAGGCAAACTTATTTTCCAGCCAACTTCAGCAAATCTTAAATTAATCAAATCAGAATATTGTCATTTTGAGTAAAGACTACATAAAAGATAGACTAGTCTAAAAAGGGAAGCCAATGTGTTAGTGTCTTAAACCTGCATTCTTTCTAATGGTGAGCAGCACAGAGTAAGTTTGTTAATACTGAAGTCCATTACAGTCACTGAGTTACACACTTCATCTGTGACCTCTTAAACGCTTTCTGTAGTTCATTTTCTCAATTGCAACATAATGTTCATTTTATACATTTTAGTCCTAATTAAGGTATAATACACAAATAAGCAGGGTGTGTTTTAGGGCAGGCCTACCTTGGGGTTGACAAATCACTAACATAAGAGTGTACAGTGTCATCAGATAAACGTTGTTCATCATCTCTGGGTTCAAAAATCCAAAATGCAACTTCACAAAACATGACTTCATATTTTGTCTTAATTTTTATATAATTTTTTTTTTTAGCAGTATTAGCAATGCTAACTGTAAGTTTAACTACCATCATAGTTATATTTCAAAGTGGCCAGGTCAATTCTCTTCCATATGAATGAATGAATGAATGAATAAATAAATAAATATGAAATCTCGTTATTAACTTTAGATGGGGACTGTGTTGACACTGATAAAACTGAGTTCTATAACATGTGCTTAATCTTGTAAACGGGTTTATTTCAACCCAAACCATAACTTGAACCCCAATCAAGTTTTTTTTTAACCTAAGCAAACGAGGACTGAAAGCAAAACTTGTCTCACATAAGATTTAAACCTAAATCTTGTGGCATTTTCATCCTCTTGTGTCGGGCTACATGCCTTCCTTCATAAACTTTTATTGCTGCTCAGTTTCTGCTGTCTTCTAAAGTCACGATTTAGCAGTAGTAACTGTTGTAGATTGGTAATAAGATGATAAGATAAGATGACCTTTATTAGTCCCACAGGTGGGAAATTTGTTTTGTTACAGCAAAAGTGCAAAGTTATGTAGCAGAAATTAGAAAAACACTGGAATGCAATAAAATAAAATAAAATAAAATAAAATAAAATAAAATAAAATAGAATAATATATACAATAGAATAAAATAGAAATACAAATGCTATATACAACCGAGTAAGTAATGGGCCACAAAAAAACAAAGGTAGGAGAAAACCGTTGCCTTTGTCTGTGGATAAATCTGTCACAAATTTTAGCAAAAGGTATGACAAAAAAAAAAGTGGTACACGTTTTTCTGTTCAGCCTGTGCAGGTGTGTTAATGTTCATTTAATCAAAAGCCAGCTGGACTGCAGATGCAGAGGAGAAAAAAAATTTGCTGGCAGATAGAGAAATGAAAAACCGATAAGCCTTCATGATTTGTAATACAATTTACCGCTGTAATCTCCCTGCCACTGTTCGCTCCCCTGCATCCTCTAATCCAGGGCTGTATTATTCCTGCTGATGATGTCACAATCTCGAAGAACACATCACGTACAAATCCTGGTGTCACCTTGCATTCCTTTAGCCAATTCAACATCAACCGTAAATGGTGTTTTATGTTGAATCAGAATCAGAATTAGAATATTTTATTAAAGAAATTATGCATGTGTTTGTTACTGCATTAATTTTTAGTTTAAGTCATAACTCACTCTTATTTCTATGATTTCATTTTCACTTGATTTCTTAAAGTGGCAATTCAATATTTCACCAGTTTACTCAGCATATGATGTAATTCATTTTTCTTTATTTCTTATAACTTTGTTACATGCTGCATGTTTGGAAGGTAGATCTTTTAGGTCATAGGTGTCAAACTCTGGCCCGCAGGCCAAATTTGGCC